ATAAGAGATCCCTAAAGATGACTTGTTCAGCTTTTTGTAACATGTATTTATCTGGTTCAGTAAACACTATGCCTCCGCAATGACTGTATTTATGAGATCCTGTGTCAGAATATATCTTACGCTACATTCAGTGAGTCAGGTTCCTCCCGAGATAGTTTTAGTAATAGAGTAAGTTCTGTTTGGAATTTTTGGTTCTAACCAGAGGAAGTTCTGCTCATTTGCTTGCCTCTCTCATTTCTCAGTATTACTTAAAAGCACTTAATGTCATTAACCCAATCTTCACAACAGTTGTATGAGTTTGGAATTAACATCACACTTCTATAGACAGATAAGCTAAGACCTAGAGAATTTTAGTGATGATACCAAGATGGCACAGCTAATAAACAACAAGGATTGCTGACGAATCTAAGTCTTTTGTGTCCAAGTCAAATTTTCTTTGAATAATATCACACAACAGGCTACAAAACAAAGATTCTTGTGACGGTGAAGCCATGAGCTATGTAATGTTAGGCAAGTTACTTTATAATCTTTTCTAAAAATTGCCATGAAATTATTTCTCAACACATTTGTATAATAAAATGGAACATAATTTATTTAAATGACAGATGACCGAAAGGGTAGATAGATAGCTGGGACCATCTTGTGTGTACGTGTGCATGCCTGTGTATGTCAGCCCCGTCTCTAAACATCCCTGGTGTTACTCAAGAGGAAAGAGCATGTGAATCTTGAATGACATTTAGTAGAATATTATGCAATGCTCCTCAGCTCTGACTACACATTAAGAATCCCCAGAGGGGTTTAAAGATGGAATAGTATCCAGACATATTTTTCTTTCTTTTTAAATTCCAGGTGATTAAAATATACGACCATCATTTAAAATGCTTTTTGTTCACAGATAGACCATAATAAGATTCAGCTGATAGCAGTAGATAACTGTAAGAAACACATCTAGTACTGTGGCAACTAACATGTCGGAGGTTTTAGATTCATTTGACATTCATTCAACAAAATGCCTAAAGCTGAAATTACATTTTAGGATGTTTATTCAGAAAAAAAATTATCTGATTAGAAAACCTCAAATGTAATTTCCAGATCACTCACAAAAAACATGTTCACTAGAATGTTATGTGTAATATTTTATCAAGTGGGTTAATGTGAGTAAAACTGACTAAGAGTTTTGGAGAAAAGACAACGTGACAGTATAATCCTTCTTATGTTTATCTTTAGGTTTTCACACACATTGTTTTTAATGAAGTATATTGTTTCATTTACTTTTCTGGCCTTTTGTGTGTATTTATGCAGTTATTTAATATGTATTATAAAAATTTAAGGTTTACAGTGGACCTTTTCAAGGAATATTATATAATCTTTGGGAAAACGAAATTACTCTCCTCTTTGACAAAAACCCAGTGTTCTTCTACAGTCTTCATGCTGTTAGAAGGAGGGTTTTAGCATGTTAATATGAATACAGTAAGTTTTCTATCTTTCATACCAGGGACATCAACAGCAAAAATTCAACTATAGTCATCACTCCCAAGCAAAGATCGCGATGGGCTTTTATTTAAAAATAAACAAAAAAAAGTCCCACTTAGTTGACACTGCCATGAGAATTCATTAATGAATCAAGAATTGAAGAGTTAGTAAACAAGGGCAAAATTTTAGTATGAAATTCTTTGATCTTTTTGCAGAAGTATCTCTTCCTTATGCTTAAAACTTATGACCTTTCTTTGTTGTTTCTCCTCTTTTCAGTGTTCTTAGCCCCTTTGAGGCCTGTTCCTGAGTGGCATACCCCGTATCTCCTCTTACTTTCTCTAATACCTGTAATCCTTTCATTTAATTTTTCACTATTCTAAGTATTTCTCACTTGGGATAGTTTCCTTTGTATCTCCTCAGCCTTCGTTCCCCCTTGTGGCCATTTGTAGTGCTCCCTTCCTGTCAGTACAACTACACATTTACAGATGCAAATCTCAAAACCACTGCCTTCTTTTTTTTTAATGGAGTCTCGCTCTGTTGCCCAAGCTGGAGAGCAGTGGTAAGATCTTGGCTCACTGCAACCTCCGCCTCCTAGGAGAAGTGATTCTCCTGCCTCACCCTCCTGAGTAGCTGGGATTACAGGTGTGCACCACAAAACCAATGCTTTTGATTTTCCATTTCCTAAAAGTAAAGAAATGAATTTCTAATGATGATTTCAGGACTAAGACTTTTGGGTTGTTTTTCTTCCCTAAAAGGAGGAACACAAGTATGTGCCATAGCTGTTTTGAGACCATATTTTTGCAGTACTTCGGGCTTTACAAATATGTCTGTGTAATCTGAAGCTGGAATTGTGGGTGATTTTACCTGCCCCATAATCGTTGCACAAGAGATTAGTGTCAGCTGTCAGGATATGCTGCTGTGTCAATACTGTAAACAGATGAATGGTACAGGAAGGATTTTGTCTTCTTTATAGTGATGAAGCGTTATTTTTGAGTGTGCTAGCTGCCTTTGAACTACCACATATGAAAAAGGAACCAGAGTCTGTCTCTGTGATGTTTACAAATTCATGTGTAATTTGTAGAAGGTTCTAAATAAGATTTCTTTGGTCCCAAGGTTTGGTTTATTCTTCCTTATTTTTGTGAGCCTTTTCTATATTCTGGTTTGAGCTCATGCAAAAGCCATATAATTCTTAAGTGTCTCAAAGCACCTAGGGGCTCTTAATATTTGGCTTCACAGATTTCTAATGAATGCTAATATTATGCTTTAGCTGTAATATGCAATGTAGCTATATATTATATATGCTATATATTATACTGTATCTATTATATGCTATATACAATATATGTTATATAACATATATAGCAAATATTTATTAGCTATAACCTTGTTCATAATGTTCATAACAACAAGGTGTTGTTATGAAACTTCTTAAGAGGTAAATATTTTCCTCAGTAAGAGATTAAGAAGATATCCACAAGAGGTAGACTTCTATTCATAATTTAGAGAAGTCTAAGCAGTCTGCAAAGCTCAGTGAAACTTGGTGCCTCACAAGCAATCTCTTTACAGATAAGGTCCACATTTATCAGCTCCCCCTCCTGTATTGTCTGTCTACCCAGTCACCTTTCATTTACGTAATAGAACGTTTCTGCAGTTATGTGCTCTTTACTCCTTGATTTGTAAATGTATGTAGGAATCTTGTGTCTAAGTAGTTAGAAGGAGAAAAATTTGTGGTGGAAATAATCACTATTTCTAAAGTAAGAATTTTTGATATGTTAATATGGTAAAAGGAGAAAAACTTACCTAGAGTATATTTAAAGTCAAACCAATGGTGTTTAGTAATATGTGCTTACTGATATATTTTATCTTTTAATGACAAACTAGTTGGTATATTTTATGAAAGCAGCCTAAACAAAGAATTTCTATGTGGGTATAATATAGTAATAAGAAACATTTTGCATTATTCTACAAAGAAATAAAATGATAATGCTGAAATTGAAATACTGTTCTAGTTACAAGAGTAGATAATGCTAATAGCTTTTATCAAAGCCGTTCAATTTATAGTGTTTGTTTTTTCTTTGTTTTTTAAATGTCTTTGAGAAGATTAAAAAATTTATTTCTCAATTTCAGCACATAAACTGAAAATCTTGTCATTTAGAATTTCATACAGTAGATATTTTAGATGACTCATTTTAATTGTTTCTAAGTCATATGTTTTTATAGGTAAATAACCATGTTAGCTAAGAAAAAGGAAAAAAAGCATTAAAACATCAACCCATTTTCTATTTTAGTTGATCTGGTCCCATTACTGATTTATTTTCTTTCTTTTCTCAGTTGCTGAGTAAAATGCCCTTGCACTACTGCCTATTGTAGGTTTTGAATGGAACTGTAATTTATATTCTGTTTTAAAAAGACTTTAGGAAGCATGTTTTGTTCCTTTAAATGTATGCTGAAGTTTTAGGGGGAATAGCACACCAAAATCTTTTATTAAATGAGAAACAAAATGAACCAATTTAATATAATTGTAGGTATTGTTCTGATACCATAAAAAGTGAAAAAAAGTTTTTGTTCCTCATGTAATAGAAAAATAATGTCTATGTTAACCAGGCCAAACAGATGTAACCAAAATAATCAGTATAGTCTAATTCTGTCTTTTTAGTCTGGACTGACACTGCTAATAGTACTCTTATGCCATTTGGGGACTTGCAAGCAGACATTTCATAAATGTTTGTTTAATTTATGAATGAGTAGATATATGAGTAAAATTATATTCATGCAAATAATAGCATGCTGATCACATTAATCTGGGTAAAATCTTGGAGTCTATTATTATCAAATTTTGCTCATTAAAACTTAAAAGAGTGCAGGTGAACTTGAACAACATTATCATTATTATTTTAGATGAAATGAAAATTCATAGACAAATTATAATTTTCAGAATAAGTTTTTCTTAAATTGTTTCCTAAAATGTCACTTGTAGTCGTGCACATTATTTTGAGAAAAGTTAGCTAATTATTAGAAGTGACTTCCATTTAATAAATTAGTGATCAGGTGTGGGAGGTTGAAGAACTTTATGTCCTTTTTTAATGCTCAGAATATACTGAGTAAGGTATGGTAACTCTTGCACCAAGTATGAAAGTAGAAATTCCTGGTGAGTTTTCCCACTATTGTTGCCAGATACTGCGTTTCCATATTGTGATAGTGTTGAGTAAGGGTTAGAATCTTAAGAGATTCCTATAACCTGTTTTCTCCTTCATAGAGCACTGATTTCATAGTATTTTAATAATTGTCTGTCTGTCCCAATAGAATGAAAATGTCTTTATGGTAGAGGCCTGATTCTGTTTTGTACTCTTGTGCCCTCAGTTTTAATCACAGTGACTGTCACTGAGCAATCCTTCAGATATTTGGAGAATGAATAAATGTCCCATAGCAGTAAGAGAAAAATTAATAAACATTCAAGTGGTAAGCCATGCATCGATAAAATGTGTGATAAACAAAGATAAATATATGTTCCATTTTTCTCCCCACAGTCTCCAAACGTCCACAACTATCCCGATATGGAAGCCGTTCCCCTGTTGCTAAATAATGTGAAAGGGGAGCCCCCGGAGGACTCGTTATCTGTAGATCACTTCCAAACACAAACTGAGCCAGTGGACTTGTCAATAAACAAAGCCAGGACGTCCCCTACTGCCGTTTCATCCTCCCCAGTTTCCATGACAGCGTCTGCCTCCTCACCTTCTTCAACTTCAACCTCTTCATCGTCTTCTAGTCGTCTAGCCTCATCCCCAACTGTTATCACATCAGTATCTTCAGCGTCATCTTCGTCAACAGTATTAACTCCAGGGCCCCTTGTTGCCTCTGCATCTGGTGTTGGAGGCCAGCAGTTTTTGCACATTATCCATCCTGTACCGCCTTCAAGTCCCATGAATTTACAGTCTAATAAACTGAGTCATGTTCACCGCATCCCTGTGGTGGTACAGTCGGTGCCTGTTGTCTACACAGCTGTAAGGTCACCTGGAAATGTGAACAACACTATTGTCGTGCCGCTTTTGGAGGATGGGAGAGGCCATGGCAAAGGTAAGAGACATGAACAAAGCCTTGATTTATTTCAGCACTACAGGTGACTTCATTTTTGCGGTGAACGAAACCTAAATTGTATGCAAACACTACATCTGAAGAAGTTCTGTGTAGAGCAACACAGAGACGCCAGCTGTTGAGCCTTCAAGTAGAACACAGTTTAGAGGGAACTCACCGTATGTTTATGTAGGTATATGCTCCAGTTTTGCTCAGTGTACTTTTATTTACCATAGGTCATGTAATGTCAGAATTCAGATATCTAAGTTTGCAAAATAATACTTGCTTTGAAATGCTCTTCTTTAAGTCCTCAGTTGGGAAGGGCAATCTATGGTGGACATAATTGCTTATGAAGTGTAAATTATAGATTATGAAGTGTAAAATTTTCTTCAGTAAATCAGGATATTTCTTTGTTGAGTTGTTCAATTGGAATTTATTTAGGTGGTAATAATATAAAATGTTGTGAAGTTGCAATGCCTGGAATCTAATTATTCACTTTTGAGTAACCTATAAATTAAGGTGCCATTAAAATGATTCTAAAATTAGGTGTTTGACTATAATAGTATCATGTAGCTTGTGTTATTAACTTCTTATAAGGCTAAGTTATTATTTTAAGGAACAGGATGATTCAGTATACGGGAAATATTTCAAGATGCAATATTAATATTCCTTTTTAGGGTCTAGAAGGCAGGAAGATAACTTTTCTGCATGACTATGTGTAATCATCACTAGATATTTAATTAAATTTGATAGTTATGCAGCTGGTCATGAAGTTATTTTCTACTTCTAAGTTCTTTTTTTCCCCGAATTTTACTAGAAGAAATTGTGATAGCGTCATGCTGTCTTTTCTCTTTCTTCACTATCCGTGAATCTAAAAACCAAGCCACCCCTCAATAGAAACTCAAAATGTCCATAATCATTGACTTATTCCCTTTTAAAGTAAATACATATGTATGTACTTTGTCTTCAGAGCCTAGAAATAATGATGGATTAAGATTTATGTTGTATTACTTTTTGCTTTGACACTATATTACTACTGAGGCCTGTAATTAAAATATGATCGATGAGTACATAAAACACTGCCTTCTCATAAGATGCTAGTAAATATGGTTGTTTTGGTTCTTGTATGAGGTGGGAATAAATACATAGAAGTAACATTTAATTGTGAACTTACAGAAATTTTTGCAGATATGAATTACAAAATTGTGCATTCACCATTAGCAAGGTATTATTTTATCTGCAGTAAGTTTCTTCATCACACGTGAAATAAGTTTCACCTTCCTAGTTTAACCAAATCAAAATCTGATGATTCAGAGCATACAGGTATTTTAGACTGCAAACTTGAGATGCAGACACCTGTAATCTCTTTCTTTTGTTCTCTAATGGGCCAGGAGCTAGTCCCACTATTCTCTAGTGAAAACATAAAAGGAAAAGAGGAATTAGGGAACCTTTTCATGGATTTTACCTGAGCCAAACCCTCTTTGATATTGCTGACACTTCTGCTTGAACTGAACAAATCAAATTTGAATAATAATAACATAACTGCAGGCCAAATCAGGTATTTATTTTATTTTACAATTTAGAAATGAGATTGTAAATTTTTTAAGAATTAGGAATTAACAAGTAGCAAAACATGCAAACTTGCATATTATCTTGTATATGTGTATATGTGTAATGATAGAACCTAATCTTTGTATAAGATAAAAGTTATTTTATTATAAAGTTAATTAATAAAGATACTAATGTTGCTCATGACCTTTCATACAATTTTGATTCACTAATGAAAGAAACAAAAGTGATTTTTTTTGTTTGCCATGATCATTTTGTGAGAGAGATTTTTATTTTAAAAGGATAATATATAAAGTACATTGCTAAAATTTAATTTTCTGAAAAATGAATTATTGTAGCAGAACTTTTAAGACTCATGCTATAATTTGCTGTCTACATGAATATATTTGTTTCATGCATTATTTTTTACTTAGTAATTTTTTCATATCAAGAATAAAAATGTAAGCATAAACCCTGCAGACTGTGCTATGATCATTAGGAATATGAGATTTGGGATCAAGGATATATGAGTTAGAACCCTGGCTTTGTCACTTATACCTGTGTAACGGGAAAGTTATTTAATCTCACTAATCTTCATTTTTATTAGTGATAAAATAGGGATAATAACATGATCTAGCCTAGAAGATTATTGGGATGATTAAGAACATAATATACAGGCTGGGTGCGATGACTCATGCCTTTAGTCCCAGCACTTTAGGAGGCCGAGGTGGGTGGATCACAAGGTCAGGAGTTCAAGACCAGCCTGGCCAACATGTTGAAACCTCGTCTCTACTAAAGATACAAAAAATTAGCCGGATGTGGTGGCGCACGCCTGTAATCCCAGCTACTTGGGAGGCTGAGGCTGGAGAATCGCTTGAACCTGGGAGGTGGAGGTTGCAGTGAGCCAAGATTGCACCATTGCACTTCAGCCTGGGCGACAGGGTGAGACTCTGTCTTAAAAAATAATAATAAATAAAAATAATGTATAAATGTCTAACATCCATCAATTATCAATAAATGATTGAAATTACTTATCTCTCCCAAAAAAAATCAAAATAATATTCAAAAAAGTTTTCTCTTTTTTATAAAAACAAATATGGAGGAACAAAAACTTGTTGAATTTGAAAAAGAAAAACTACCTCAAGATGTTGGTATGGCACTGCTTCCCAAAGTTTTTACAACAACAAATTATAAGGGATGAGCGTTTAGTATGAGAAATTATCTGAGGACATCCCATATTTTCTATTTTTATTAGTTTATACTAAGTTTTATAATCACCGTATTCTACAAATGTTGCTATAGCATTTTATATGTTTTTTTATTGCTTAACTGATTAATTAGGTAATAGTAAAACTGTCTAGTGGAAGAAGCCTGCCTACCTTACAGAATGAATAAAGGAAAGGGCATTTCAGTAATTCCTCAATTCTTTGTTTAGCATATGTGCAGCTGGGCAGCGAGCCAGCAATGAAGGCTGAGAGAATAAAGGGAGCCCCCATTTCCCTTCCTTCTTAGGATGTGTATTTCTGGTATGCATGAGCAAAGGAAAATACGATAGGGAAGTTGGATTTTCAAAATGCTAATAATAAAAATACAAAGTGTAATGCATAAATGTAGATGATTGTACTGGCTCCTTTTAAAGTTGATGTAACGTTGTATCTGGTCTCTGATAGAGAAATAGGTTACCCTACATGTCACATTACGTGAAGGACTGTGAATGCGCACAGCCGTGTCTAAGCTCATGTGTCCTGTCAGTTGAATTGTTTGTCTTTTCAGCTGTCTATTGTGCATCTATCATTATCAGGCATTTTATTGACACCAAAGATACAGTGTTGGGCAAAGCAGATGTTGTTTCTGTCTCATGGTGCTTACAGTCTAATGAGAGCTACTGACTTTCCACAAAATGATCATAGAAACAAATAACTGATAATTGTGGACAGAGTTGGACTGAAATAGACCATCCAGGGAGGTGCCCAGTGGAATGGGTTTAATTATAATCGCAAATAGAGAAAGCTGTATTTGGCCAAAGTGTTTTCATGTAGGATGTCATGTTCTAGGAAGATACATATTTACTGTGATGCTTAGGGTGTGGTGAGGGTTTGGGAAGGGGTGGGGTGAAACTTCCACAAGGAATGCTTGACTGAGGACAGAATGGCGTGAAAAGATTTTTTCTAAACTCCTTCCTGAGAAGTGTGAAAATGCCTTCTAGTGAGGCTAGAACCACAGCCTTTTCAAGTGTGTAAAGAATAGTGATCTGAAGCAATGGCAGGTTGTCAGCTAGCACAGAACACTCTGACATCTCTATTGGACCTTTGATATAGTATGTGATATGAAGAAAAATGGAATGATGTCCTAGAAGGTACAATAAACAAACAGAATTGAGCTATGAGAGGGAGGATGTCAGAAAACGTCTCCTGAGGAAGACATTTTTCCACTTGAAACATAAGGACATGTAGCAGTTAGCCCCCAATAGTGGTGGTACTGGGAGGTGCAGGGCTCGCCACATGAGGGGAGAGTTTTGTTATTAGGTTGGTGCAAAAGTAATTGCGGTTTTTCTCAAAGGGATGGCATAAACTGTAGTTACTCTTGCACCAGCCTATACTATGGAATCTGAGACATGATATTTATAAACCGAACCCTAAAGGGATTATTTGACCTCACAAAGGAATTCAAGTCCTTCTTGGGTAAGTTCGTGGCACATTTCTTGGGAGACGTTCATTAGCTTTCACCAATATTTAATAGAAGGAAGGCACTGAGCAAGCTTGCCCAACCCGCAGCTGTGGGCTGTATGCAACCCAGAACTGCTTTGAATAAGGCCCAACACAGATTTGTAAACTTTCTTAAAACATTATGAGACTTTCTTGCAATTTTTAAAAACTCATCAGCTATCATTAGTGTTAGTGTATTTTATGTGTGGCTCAAGTTAATTTTTCTTCTTCCAGTGTGGCCCGGGGAAGCCAAAAGATTGGACACCCCTGGCATCGAGGGTCAAGACAGATCTCAGGCAGAGTTATTCTTGGTTCATTATTGACTTGATGGAAGAGCAGGCGTGTTTAGGATTCTCCTTTCTTCCGATATGAAGTGTGCATTTACTTTATACCAACTACATTTCTAGGAATTGGTGTGCCAAAATGAGCAAGTCCCTACTGTCAGGGACCTTACATTCTAGTAGTAGTGACAGTTCATGTATATCAGATGCTATAAGTGCTGTGAAGACAAATAAGGCATGATAAGGGAGTTGGAAAGTTAATAGGAGAGGGGCACAGTTTTAGGTATAATCAAGGAAGGCCTCTCTGAGAAGTAAACTGTACCAGTAATAGCAGGGAGGACCTTTGCAAAAGAGAGAACTATAGCTTCAAAGATTCTGAGGCATGAGTGAGTATAGCCTTTGTGAGTAAGAGCTACTAGGAGGCTGGTGGAACTAGAGAGGCTTGAGTAGGGGAAGGGGAGAGTAAATG